GGAGAGGAATCGCATCACATTCCTATGTGGTCCTGATTAATGATGCCCGGTGTCCATTATGAGGTCTGTGAAATGTGTTTCAAAATGGAGAGCCAGTTTTTTTAGTATGTGTTTTTGTTTTCTTTGTTCTAATTGGATGTTGCTGTCCTGTTACTGCTGGCTAATGCTGCCCCCCCCCCCCCCCCTTTCTGCAGACCTTATTTGCGATCGGCCAGCGTTACTGTATTACTGTATTTAATCATTTCTGGGAAGGAAGCCATGAGCCATCTCTCTGCAGGACTCTGGTCCTGCCGGGCCACTCACATGAGCTCAGCAGAGGGCCCCGAATCGATTGCCTGTCCACTGCTCTCACATGCTCCGCCGTTTCCCCCTCTTGAAATATTTAGTATTTCCAGTGCTCTGCAGTTTTAACCTTGTCCTGTAATTGGAATATTGCATATCACTTTAACTTCTTTTGTGTTCTATCAGTGTAAAAAAAAAAACCAAAAAACACATAGGTGCTGTGATTCTCCGCACAGGAAAAAAATAAATGATTCTTTGTCCCTTAGGTATTTGGAAGAAAGAATGAAACACTGGCATTTACAGGATTCAGACTTAATACTACACACAGTGTGCAGCCAAAATATTTCCCTGCTTGGCTGGTATTTGAAATGAACGTCTTTATGGAGGTGGAAAGGCTCCAGTATGTGGTACAGGCCAGCATCTGCTACAGGTTGTGACCTATCGTGGTGCTTTCTTGAAGCTTCTTATCAACTTGGAGCCAATCGGAAACTACACTAAACTGTTTGTGTGTGTGTGAAGGGGGGGGGGGTGTCATAACTGAACATAACCATCATATTATGCAAGTATTATTTTTAAAAAAGGACTGTGGCAAAAAGTTTTCATACCTACCATTTCAAGTTGGATTAGGGTTTTTTAATAAATTTTTCAAGCAGTGTTGACTCTGTGGTATCCTGGACGTGCTAGCCAGAGGGAGCTGTATGAAAAGTATCCTTTTCATGACACTGTGGGGAAATTAAATGGGTCTACCTGCAGTTTGTGGTTTCCATAGCAACCCGTCAGTCCAAGCCACAGTCTTGGACTGTGCGCTCCCGGAACCTGGGAAACGAACACCCCTAGAAGTTAAAATATCTGGGATCGGACACTGTGACGTCCTAAAGATGACCTGTAATGAATGTCTGTCTGAGTGCCATTTGCCTTTCGAAAAGGGATCGTGTTCATATTCTATAGCTTAGTCTAGAGTTGACGGGTATTTTTCTCCTCTGTTACTGTTGGCGTTCCTTCCAGTTCTCTATGCTCAGTGCTCATAACCTGTGCTGTGGAGTAGAGTGGGCAGGGTGCTGCCCTCCTGGTGCTACTCGCCTAGTGTAGCAGCTGCAGCCTGTCTTTATGTGGAGGCTGAGGACTCCTCCTGTCTCAGAGCTGTCGCTGGCACTCCAGGCCCACGACGCCGAGCGAGACAGCGACTCATGCATGATTGATCAGTTCAGCCTTTCCCCGCTGGCGCCCAGGCCGGTCCACTCTGGCTCCCCCCCGTGCCCCCTCCAGTGCTGCGTCTCACCTCGGCACTGCTCGCCTTGCCTAATTAATACCTGCAAGAAGGTCATTAATATGCAGCAGCAGGCTCGCCAGGGGACATCTCCGTCTCTGCTGTTGCTATAACAACAGCATGAAAATGAAACCCTCCTAAATTTTACATTTCGAAACTGCAATCGCATTAACGGTACAGGGGGAGAAAACCTTAATAGTTTCAGCAGTTCATTGCAATGTTTAGTAGATATTAGCTGTGTTGTATTGGCTTGAAGACACTGGTCTGCATGGATGTTTACCAGGAATGTCACACCCTATGGTAAATAAATAAGACCACTGGTCACAGGTACAAGGCAACGATCTTGCAAACATGCCATTCTCATGTTAAACCTGAAAAGGACATGTCAGGTCATTAGGAGTCGTCATATATCAGTGCAGAATTTTCAGTCTTTTAAAATGGAAGGTAGAATGGTTGTGCTGCACTGGGCTACAGACATCCATACTGGGAGAGTCCCTGGACAGGTTGCCTCGGACTTCTCACAGTCATGTATTGTAAGGAGGCCTTCCCCAGGACAGTAATGATATGTTTAAACTAATTAGACTTAACACCTGCTCTACCCCCAGATACTTAACCGTCGTGCCTGTTTCCTCTGGATTGAAAAATGGGGCTGACCTGAATACTCCAAAGCTTTGGGTAATTGATTCCCATCATACATGTTCATGTCTAATCTGAATATTTTATTCAAATTGATGTAATTTTTTTTTTAAAGAAGGTGACAATTAAGGACTGTTTAACCTTCCTTGGAGTATTGCTTTTGTATTATTATTTTAGAACCTGCTCTTATTCCACAAAATTCAAAAAGTCACATTTTTGTCGGTATTCTGCTCTCCGTCATGTTAATGGAGAGTAGCTTGTGAATTATCTGTGTGTCGACGCATCGACGATCTTCAGATGCGCTGGTGGATGGCAAAATTGACCAAAATATTTTTCATAGTACAGCTTGATCAGCCGTGAAGCGTATTGCCCGCTGACTGCCTGTGACATTTCCAAAAAGATAGTTCTCAATCGAGTGAGAGGCTATGGAAAGTATTATATATCTGTAAAAATATAAGCTAAACTGTAATTAGCCTATCAGATATTTGATAGTGATTGAATATTTTTACTTGTAGATTAAGAACTGTGGCACTATTATTATCATCATTAGAATAATAGTATTTCTGGGTTTTTCCTTAATTCTGAAAGTGGGTTACAGTGCAAGCACTGCAATAAAGGTGAAATGGGAGCACTGCTCAATTTCTGTGGATTTTTATCATCTTATTTTGAATAGATAAAAGATAGATGCTGTGTATACCATACAATCTTAGGAGCAAATGAGAAATATATACATTTTTATTATGAATGCATATGTGTTCTCATCATTATTTGCGTCTTGGAAAAATAAAGTCTTAGAGGCAGCCCCCCCCGACCTGTTTGTCTAACAAGCCTTTTTCTGAGGGTTGATTGATGTTTGTCTTTCCACGTCTTTGATGTTGCACTGCAGCAGACAGGAACTTTCTTCCAAAATCTATTTTAACACATTAGTTATCAACAGATGGAAAGTACTGTGGGCTATCAGACTCTCCCCACCTCCACCTCGTGCTTTGGAAGCCATTCAGTCCTTTGTTGCATTTTTTTAGTTGAACATTATGACAATGATAAGTTAAGGGTGTATAACCAAAATCTAAATTAGTTCCAAATTTCGTCGTGTGAAAATTAAGGCCCAGCTGTTATGGATCTTTCTCCTGCATGGTGGATTTTATGTTGGTCTAACTGCAGTATAAAAAAAATTGTGCATCTGTATCCTGTTTTCATCTGGGAGTTTTTCTTTTATTCCACCACATGGACATGTCTGTTGATTGTTTGTATGATAGAATTGAGGTATCATGGCTTAGCGTGTGCTTTCTGCATCTGTGTTCTGTACCTCTTAGGTTGTTTATTGGAAATGAATTCTGTGTAGTTGCCTTCCACATATCAGATAAGCTTCCTGATTATGAAATGAGTCACACAGAGGACGAGTGACAGTTTGCATTATAGATGGTGACTCTGTGCTTGCTGATGAAACAAGAACTCCAATTTTACTGGAACCTTCAGGGAGCGATGCCACGCACAGGCACGCAAGCGCGTGCGCACACACACATACACACACACACACACACACACACACACACACAATACACATGTATTCTTATACCCACTGGTTCTGTGGGCTGTGATAGCCAGCTCGCCATTTTTTTCATGCACGCGATAGATTCTCCCTGTTCACTTGCTGTCACTTTGCATCAGTCACTCTCTCTGGGCCCCAACCTCTGCGTCTTTGGCCTACTTTGCGTTCTGTTTGTGCCGCCGCTTTGACGGGGCCTGTGAAATTCCCCGCTATATGACTGGTGTCCCGACTGCCTGGATGCAGCTCATGTCGACAGGGGCTGTCAGGAGATCCCCACCATGTGCCAGCCTTCGACGTGTCAGGAGTCTCGTAGGGGTTCAGGCTTCAGCTAGTCAGCCTGACCTGCATGCAAGTCAGAAACTACTTGCCGGGAAGACTTGGGCCGGCCATGATCATGGCGAGGCACAAATTGCCCATCCTCCGTTTTGTGCCAACTGATAGTGAGAAATACTTGTTATTCACATTCCTATTTCTATTATTTATATATCCAGAATCTTCTGGGTTTTTTTTCCTTTGCTGTTCTCAAGACACCAGGCTGTTTGTTTCCGATAGGTCTCTGAATATATTTTGTCCTTATGTTCTGTCTTCCATAATGCAGTTCCCTTCGCGTGCTTGGCTGAGAATCCTGTCGTCTGTCACTTGTATTCTGGTTATGATTATTTACTGATGTATGGCAATGGTGAAAGGGCAGTTAGACACACATTGGTATTCAGTGTACAGTCCTAATGACATGGTCTGCATAATATTTAACTGGTGTGACAGGACTGGAGATGAGTTGAAGATTTTTCATAATTACCAATTCATGGTCTTTAGACATGGAACAGCTTGTGTCAAGCACAATTATAGATGATAATTATAAAGCACACTTTCTTTGGGTTAACAGGATTCGAATGTTGTGCATTTTGTATGTCTCCTTATTCAGGCCCCATGTTTGAAGTCTGCATGTTCTCCCCATGTTCTCCCCAAATAAGTTTTGTTTCACTGTGTTAAGATGGTTAGTGGTGAAGTGCAGATTGTGAGTGACATATAGTGTTTGTTCCAGATGACTGTGACCCCAGCTATTTTATCAGTGATCTAATACTCACTTAGAACATTTCAAGAGAATTTTAAAAAGGTTATATTGCATTTCCCAGTTGAAGAGCAATATCTCATAGCCTGTTTCTTTGAGACCCTGGCTACAGTGTATTCCCCATCCTGATGTAGGAGTTTGCAGTGTTTGAAGTTCTTTAAAAGAAAAAAATAATATACATATTTTTTCTGCTTTAGGTCAGGCAATGTGTGATGAAGTCTCATGAAGTCCTCCATTGGAGCTGACATTGACAGTCAGCAGGAATCTCCAGTACACAAATACAGCTGGAGAAGTTTACCTCCTTCAGGAATAGACACACCCTCCTGCCCTGTCCACTCATCATACTCCCTGAGTTCTGTGCCATTCAGCTATGGCCAGTCGAAGAAAGTCCACGATTCCCTGCATGATCCGACTCAGTGATATGACCGAACAAGATGACTCTGATGACATGGATGTCTCTTCCAATAACACTATCCAAAACATCCCACCTCTTGAAACATGTAACAAAGATCCCTCTTCAGGAAGGGATTCCGGATCCGAGCACAGGGAGGAACCTGAGAAGCAGAATTCAGAGGCAACACGTCCACTGCGGAAACAACAGGGTGGCTATGAATGCAAGTATTGTCCATTCTCTACTCAGAACTTGAACGACTTCAAAGAGCATGTGGACTCAAGTCACCCCAATGTCATACTCAATCCTCTATACTTGTGTGCAGTGTGCAACTTCAACACAAAAAAGTTTGACACACTCACAGAACATAATGAGAAGTGTCATCCCGGAGAGACCAATTTTAAGTTCAAAAGGATCAAAGTCAATGGTCAGACTGTACTGGAGCAGACCATCGAAGGCTTGACGGACATGGTTATCTGTGATGCTGCAAGCACTTATAACGGAGAAGGATTTCCTTCCTGTCCCTTGAGTAAATCGGCTACCACCAAAATTGGTCAGTCTAAATTTGAAAAAAATCCTCTAACTAACCTTAGCCCAAAAGACCAAATCACTGCCATCAATGTGAATGGGACTGTTATAATTCCTGAAACGACAATTAAAGAAGGGCTCTCTCACGTAATGCCTTTACTTCAGCGTCCTCCGAACTTTAACTCCATACCAAAAGTTGCTGTCCCCTTGAACACCACCAAATACAACCCCTCACTAGACAGCAACTTAACCCTGATCACCTCCTTCAACAAGTTTCCCTACCCAACTCATGCTGAGCTGTCCTGGCTGACCGCTGCCTCTAAACATCCAGAGGAACAAATAAAAGTCTGGTTCACAACCCAACGGCTAAAACAAGGCATTACTTGGTCCCCAGAGGAAGTAGAGGAGGCTCGTAAGAAAATGTTTAATGGCTCCATCCCACCTGCACATCAGACATTTACTGTTCTGCCTGCCCCAGTGACAGAGCCTGCCAAGCCAGCCCAACCTCTTATTCAGACTGTCCCCTGCCGCCTCCTGGGACAGACAAGCTTAGTGTTGACAACTGTTGCCAGTGGGTCAACTGTCACTTGCTCACCCATTGCACTTACAGTTGCCAATCAGACACAAGCCCTAAAGCGGCCATTGGCAGCCCCAGTGGTGGCCCCTGAAGTGAAGCGACCTGTGGCTGTCCCAGTAATTGCAGCTGAGATGAAGCGATCTTTAGTTGCACCCTTACTTTCCCCTGAGGTGACTCGTGTGACGGCTCCAGTAATGGCCCATGATGTGAAACTTCCTGTGCCAGCTCCTGCATTAGCCAATGAAGTGACACGTCCAGTTGCGCCTTCCTTGCTGACCCCTGAAGCAAAGCGTCCTATTATAGCCCCACTGGTTGCCTCTGAAGCAAAGCGGCCAGCTGCCACCCCAGCAGTAGCCTCTGAAGCTAAGCGACCCATTATAGCACCAGTGATAGCCCCTGAGGTGAAACGGCCAGCTGGTGCTGCAGCGATGGCCTCTGAGGTAAAATGGTCAGCTCCAATGGTAGTCTCTGAAGCAAAGCGGCCGATTGTAGCTCCAATGGTAGTCTCTGAAGCAAAGTGGCCGATTGTAGCTCCAGTGGCCACATCTGAGGCAAAGCGGCCGATTGTAGCTCCAGTGGCCACATCTGAGGCAAAGCGGCCGATTGTAGCTCCAGTGGCCACATCTGAGACAAAGTGGCCGATTATAGCTCCAGTGGGCACATCTGAGGCAAAATGGCCGATTGTAGCTCCAGTGGTAGTCTCTGAAGCAAAGCGGCCGATTGTAGCTCCAGTGGCCACACCTGAGGCAAAATGGCCAATTGTAGCCTCAGTCTATCCCCCTGAAGTGAAGCGTCCAGCAGCAGCTGTAATTGTAGCCCCTGATGTGAAGCGTCCATTAACAGCTTCCACGGTATCTACTGATGCAAAGTCACTACCTGTTCCCCAGGCAGTTTCTCCCACTGGGAAGCAGAACATCGCAGCACCTGCTGTTGAAGTGAAGCGGCCAACTATAATCCACTCAATAAAGTCACCTCGCAAGGCCACCTCTCCCGTTATCACTTTTTCTTTGGATTGTAAGAAATTAGGCGAACATATCACGGAGCTGAGGCCTAACTATGACAAAAGCCAACTTCCAGAAGATGAGACGAATGCTCTTAATGAGGGCGCTGTCCTTGCAGGTGGCAAAAAGGGGTTCAGCAACCAGCACAGAACCGATAAGGGTCCACAGCACATGAGTGGCGAATTTGTGCCAAAAGAGACATTGCAGAAGTCTGTTCCCTCTCGGTTCCCTCTTCTTGACAGAGTGAAAGGGAAGACTGCTGAACAGTTGAAGATTCTGGAAGAGAGTTTCCAGAGGAGTAGTGTTCCAACACAAGGAGAATTGGAGAGCCTTGTAAGTGAGACCAAGCTCTCCAAGATGGAAATTGACTGCTGGTTTTCAGAGCGCAGAGCACTACGAGACAACTTGGAGCAAGCAGTGTTGAACTCCATGGGCTCAAGGAAGGCAGATGGAGGGGAGAGGCAGCAGCGACACAGTGTGCTGAATGGATGCCATGAGAAGGACAGCTGGTCCAGGGATTCTTCTCTCTCCATCGCCACCCCTTTTCCATGCTCCTTGCCTATTGACAGTAAATCACTGACTCTCCTGAAAGATGTCTTCACACAAACTCGGTGGCCGTCACCTGAGGAGTACAGTCAGTTAGAAGCCCGGACAGGTCTTGCACGCACCGAAATTGTCCGCTGGTTCAAAGACAACCGGTTGCTGCTTAAAAATGGAGCTTTGGAGTGGATGGACACTTTCCAGCCTATAAGTGGTAGGGGAGCAAATGGGCAAGGTGCATTGTCCGGCACAGAGCACAGCCAGAGTGCTGTCTTGCAGCACTGTCCAGAAGGCAAAGCAACACGGTCCGATGACCTGGACGGACTGACAGATCGCACCAAGCTCAACAACCAGGAGATCACGGACTGGTTCACCAACAGGTTGGGGCAGAACACTTCTGACATTGGCAAGAATATAGGCCAGAATGGCCTAAGTAGAGAGGAACCTGGTAGCTGGGTTAACATGACCATGGGGACAGCTGCTGGCTTGAAGGATCAGGAGCTTGTCCTGGATGCTGGGAATGTGAAGACACCTATGGAAGGGTGACACAAAGTGTGCCAGGTAAGCAATGCACATGGGAGATTCCAGAAATGGGATGGTTTTTAGCATGCAGTAATCTTTATTTCTCATGGAGCAAACGGCTTTATTACTTCAGTGGAAAAGGGGATTTATATACATACATACCTACAAACACAGACAAAACCATGTCTAGTGATGATGAGCGAATGGGAGATTTCAGGGATAGTATTGTTGCCTAGTAACCTGAAAACCATATTCATGTTTCAATTATCAGTATGAAAAAAATGTAATGCCAAATCGAGAACCAGGGTATTTAAAACGTTCTGCTAACTGACTGAAAGTAATTTTAAATTATTTTCAATAAATTCCAACTCCCATCCATGTCCCATGACCAATATTTCTGTGGGCTAAATTATGATTATGGCTGGTTTTTATTAGCACATTCTGAGGTTCCCAGCAATTCTGTCAAACAAAAAATGCAGGCTCTTCTTTCAGAATGTTTAAGTAGTAATCTATTAACATTTACTGCAGTGGTAGGGACATGGTACTGTTTCAAAATATGAGCGCTTTGGTATTAAAGCCATGTAATTTAACATAATTGGTTGTCATATTGTGTGGGTTTCACGTAATGCGTTAATTAGATTTTATAGATAAATTTACAAGCTATTTTTGTCTACTGCAGGTGTCTAGAAAAAATAGTTTTGCATAACTAACAGGTTTGTGGGCACTAGGACTGGTGAGGATGGAATCCCTTCACACTGCTCAGGGTGTATATAAATGCAGTCTCTTTTTGTAGATTCACTGCCAAATCGCAGTCATGATGATCATTTTCATGCTTAATCAGTGTGCCCAATTGTCGGACAGAAAGGTAGAGCACAGTACATATGGAGGGTCCACTGGATTTGAGTAGTCGGGCTTGGACTGAGATGATGATGCTTCTTGTTTTGGCTGCAGGTTTGAAAACTGGCTGCTGCCATTTGCACAGAAGAAAAGGAAGAGGAAAGGTTTTGTTTTTCCATATTTTGGAACCAATGATTTGACACCCCTGCTCTGGGCTAAAAGGCTGCATTCTTACAATAGTCAGTCTGCTGTTAAAACTTTCAGAATGTTGTGGAAATGCTGGTGGAATGTGAAGTGCCGACTGATGGTCAGGGGCACTGTTAGAAGGCCACACGCCCAGGGCGCTGACCGTCCGCTGGAGGTGACCGTCGAGTGCCAAAACGGAACTGCTGCGATGCTCCCTGTAAATATTTCTTCTGTTACATGATAGATTTGTATGATATTGGGAGAGTTTTGTTACGTTTATATAGGAATGGATTCGTCCCTTGAGTTTTGGCTGGTCCTTGTTCTGATTTTTGTAATGACGCCATAAACCACTACATATTTTGGCATCTTATTCCTGTAACTTTACAGTGTCCAACTGTAATCCATCCTGAGGATGTTCTAAACTTTAGAAGTCCAAGCACTGACCACCGTTGGGTACAGCTGAATGTCCAGGACTATACAGCACTCACACGGAGATGGCTGCCCCTCAGTATGCATTTTGCAAGGTGCCTGACTCACGAAAAAGGAGCACAGGGCTCCTGCACCTGACTGCCATTTTGGCGAGGAAGTGAGGCCTGTGAACAGCTTAAGGATCTTAGTGACATCCTGCACATACAACTCTTCTGTAGTCTTACTTTCTCCTTTCAGATGAACACACATTATTATTGGCCTTAGTATTTGGGTTTCTAGGGAAACCCTAGTAGTGCTAGTTCCATTTTTACTGTATAAACAGGAAATATCAGCACATAAACGCTCTTTATGGTACTCTTCTGCTATAATGTCAGTTTCTCAAATATATCAAAAATACTGTAATTCTACCAGGATCCTGCTTTACTCTTTCTGAATCCTGCTGCCATCTGCTGTAATCCAATAAAACACAGCCTATTTAAAAGCACAGATTTTTGAGATGTTCTGCATGACTGTCAAGTGTCTAGGTGCTTCCCCTGTCCCTCTGAGGTATTGATCCATTTTTGTTTTTTTCCTGGAGTGAGTGACCGGTGTCACCACACTAATGCCATTTGACAGTAAAACTGCTCAATTTTACACTAGAAATACTGCAGAGGGTCAGTAAGTCAGAAGAATCCCTGTGGCTTGTTCATTGGTGTCCTAAATGTTTACTTAGCTGTTTTATATTCCCAGAGAATGGAGTGCAATCAAGAAACTTTGGGAAGGCTGTTATTTCATTCTTCATTATGTTTTATACACCCAGCATCCACCCAGTTACCAGTCTTCTTTATGTATATTTTTATCTTAGTAATTCCATTCTGAATATCTAACATAAAGCAGGTTACAGCATTTACAGGTGATAGCTGAATGACGTGAGCTGGTGCTGGAACATAACTGAGGTGTGCGATCATGCTGGACTCGTGAGAACCATTACCTCAGACTCATTACATCATTACTGAGTCACCAAACTACTAATCGTGAATACATTTATTAGACTGACTGACTGACTTGGATTACTACATGTGGCAAATCCACAACAAATGAACCAAGTGAAAAACCAAGATCAATCACAATGTTGTCTTTAATCTTCTCACATTTCTAAGATAAATGTTCTGAACTCATCAGAACTGATGTCCAACCTTCTCTTCGAATAAAAACAGACGCAAAGCTGATCAATGCTTCTACTAACAGAATGAACAGAAGTACATTAACTGTAAGAAAAACTATACATTAGTTGACCTCACCCAACCCTGGTAACTTCTCACAGGACTGTCTGCTCTATTCATATTGGATTATTTTCAGACCTCAATCTTCTTTACAAAGTGCCTGCAGCTGTAATTAAGGTCATGTGCCATCATTACGGCACAAATCTCTGAGAGCAGACTGCCATTGTTTTGCGGTCTCAAGTGCAGACAAGTGAAGGACTCTGTGACACCTTTCCCTTGGACACAGTATCATGGAGCCATTTGTAATTTCCCAGAGATTGCTGATGTATTTATACCATGTGCAAGCCATCATGTTTACCCATGATGCCTTGCTGCGGCCTTCCTCACAAAGCTGTCCCCAGGGCAGAGCCCTGCAGCTCTTCCTCTGCCCTAACCAGCTGGTTCCAGCTGGAGAATTTTCATTAAGACCATCTCTGCCCAATCAGGGAGGGGAAATAAGTGACAAGCATTTGATATTAAATATTATTTCTCTACATCTGAGCGCATTAAGGCCAACCAAAATTATTTAGCCAAGGTTCATTTACAACAAGCATTCTGCACAATATCGATCTTTAAGTGGGATTGAGACAGCTTGGTCACCTTCTTGAAAAGCACTGAACATGTGAGCTCTTCAGACCATTACACTTCGGGATATTAATTATGGGGTGTGGTAAACAAAAAAATATGGCCGAGCATGAAAAACAAAAACACAACAGTGTGCCACGCAACATCGTCATAGGACAGATCTCTCCATACGGCTGTCCGAGGGAAAGGCAACATTTCCCCCTGCACGGTAAAGTCAGTGCCGATGTCGTGGGGACCGGGGGACCAGCATTTCTCAGTCCTCCCCTAGCCGGAAGCCCTGGCCCCAGTTGTGACGTCCCCCTCCTGCCCCACCCTGATCAGGGGCTGCTTGTCTTCTGCTGGGAGGTGGAGCACCAAACCCAGAGACTCCACCCCGTCGACTTGGGAAGAAGCGGTACCTGGCGGAGGGAGGAGCAGCTCGTGAGAGACGTGACACAAGGAGTCAAATGAGACCTCACTGGTTACCATCCAAACAGCCCAACGTGAGTCAGTGTTTCTGTAACACCAACATTTCAGATACCAAACAGGCTGATTTTTCTGTCTCAGCCAACTTCCAGTGACATCATTTTGAAACGAAATAGATATGCTCAGATCAGGTATTTATATAGAGCAAGAAGCAGATGCCATCATCGCTAATACTCAGCCCCTGTTAGAACCCGCTCAGGAGCGGAAAAACGCTTACAAAAGCTGCGGTGTTGACAGAAAGGCTCGACCGCCCAGGTCCATGGGATACTTGAACATCAGGAAGTAGTATAGGTGACCCACCAGGTTTCCAATAAGGTCGTTGATAATGCTGTAGATGAAAATAGACACATGGAGTTTCATGTAGTATCAGATTGGTCATACATACACCTGATAATGAGCAATTGGAAGAGGAGTGTCACAGAGCTGAGATCGACAATCGCACGAATAACTTACGAGCCTCCAATAATGTAGTTGAATCCAAGAATGACCCAAGGAAGATAACATGCCTTTAAGGGAATTAAAAGTCGTCAGACACTGTCCAGTTCATGCCATGTTTTTTCCAAGGATTTAAATACATTGTATCTATGTGCTAAAACAAAGCATCTAATTAATGCTTGTAAGCAACTTGGACCTGGAAAGTAGGACAGTTGATTTATCTAGCCGCCATCTTTATTATGAGGTAAGCAGATACCAGTACCTTGAATCTGGTTCCAAACCAGAAGGAAACGATCATGTCCCGGTTCAACTGGGCCCAAACGTACAGCACAGACATGATCAAAGGAATCATCAGGAGCTGAAAAACAGAACCAGGTTCGATTAAGGTCCTTCCTGCTGCACTTGTCAAACAAGCCATACTCTCAACTAAGAATAATTAGGTGCTTGAGCTCAGGTTTTTGGAAAGAAAAAAAAAGTTTTTTCCTGAAAGAAACCCACTGTTGACCATATTGAATATAGACGGTAATTCTACCTAATTCTATCTATATGTTTAATTTAAACATTACCTGATATACAGTTGCATGTATTTGTATGCATATTACTTCCAGTATTATTTTTATTTTATCCTCTTAAACTACACAATTACATAAGCACTTCAAACTGAAAAACAGAACTCTTACCTGCATGTCCATGATTAATCCAGTTATCTGTACATGTTTGGTTAAGGGCCATCAAGTATATTCAGCACATGACCGTCCACACCAGAAAGTGAAAGGTGACTGTTTATAAATGAACCTCTCTTAACCAATGCCACACCTTGGGGGGGGGGTGGGACAATTTCAGCGGAGAAGCTGTACAGTGGCCATGAAGATTGTTGTCTGAATTGTCACTTTGACCGACTAAATGTCAGCTGAGCCCTAAATAAGCCCGCACACTCTTTGGGGAAACAACTGACAGATTACTTGAGTTACGTCACACAAGCAGAGCTGATCGACGCTTCAGGGAGCACTGGACCCAGGGTCCCTAAAGGACCGGCACCAAAAAGGCAAACGATGTGCTCTCCTGGTCACTAGCACTGGAATCCCCTCCCCTCCCAGGCTCTCAGAACCCAGATGGTGGCTGTATGACAAACCCGGCAGGGACAGTCACGAGTGTATCCTGCTTGTCACCCAATCACTGGCCACAGTGATGACGTCACTTACAGTGGGCATAATCACCTCACCGTATGGATATTTTTTATGGGTAGGAAGATGGGGCTGTTGTGTGATTTTTAGCTATAGCACTGCAAAACAGGGAATATATATCCTTTTTTTTTTTTACGGGTAAAATAACCCGAAAAACCAATGTAATCCGCCACCCAAATAGTTAAGAAAAGATACAACAATACAGATCCAGTTGAAGAGCAGCATGAAGACATAGTCTGCTGGTGTTCCATCGAAAGCACCTGCAAAAGGACACAGGTGCACGTTAGCCTCCAAGACACTGGACAATTATTACAGACAGGACAGCACATTTGACATGTCCGCTAACTACACAATTCAAAACACAATGGACAGAGCTTGGAAATCCACCTACTGCTGGGTGTGATCTGTGACCAAAAATGAACCCCCAGCCCCCACACGTCCACAAAACATCTGCCAGGAAGCAGATGACAGCTGGCGAGAGCTCCTCCGATTCATGGCTTTTTGCGCATTACTCTGCCCTGTTTTCACACCGAGAATCACATGGTACCCCAGCAGGGGAGCTAAACGCTGAATGAAGGACCAACACAGCCCCAGCTGTTGGCAACCAGCGACTGGCAAGAGCCTAACAGGTCAGCAAAGCGGCTGAAAACTGCATCCGGACCAGATTTGAAACCCTCCCTTCCTCCTCCCACCTGGGAAAACAACAGAGCTAAGATCCACACTGTAATCGGAGTAGCAGATCAGCCTAAATGAGAACCCCAGCTTGGTTAGCAGGAGTTTTACCAGAACACTGCTTTATGTTGTTAAGACTTAGACCCCAGTGGGGTGATGGTCTAACCCCACTCTTGATGATGTGGCTTGGGAGTCCCTCTTTCCAGCTGAGTATAAACACCCAATCAAAATAACTTCTTTAAACCAATTAATCTGCACTGAGATATGCACATGTTCAAAGAAAGCAGGAACACTTGTATCTGAAGTAACTCTGCAGGACCAAAGTGGACAACCCTTCCCAAGTGCCTGATGAGTATCTACCAACTTTTCTGGGTGGGACCAGTGTGGGACAGTGGAGCCTTTCTGCACACTTACTGGCTCACATCGCGTCATAAAGCCACAACAATGACGATGATAAGAACATAGCGGAGGGACAAATGGCCGGTGTAGGCTCACCTGTTTCGAGTCTGGTGGAGTACTGGTACAAGAAATAGAGGTTGACCAAGTAAAGGAAGCCTGTTCCAGGACCCACTGGGAAATAGAGTGTCGAAGTAACTGGCCTCCAAATCTGCATAGAGAGAAACCAGACGACTGACAATGGCATAACATGAAGAGGACAACATGGCCAAGTGTGACGCCATACCTTTCCTGGTTTTTCAGAAGTCATGTATGTGATGGTATATGTGGGAAGGGAAATCCATCACATGACTTGTGAGGCATGACCCGCATCTCATAGCATTCCAAGCCGGTCTAAGAATGGCTGGGGTGGGTCTTAAGAGTGACCCATGAGAGGAGGCTGGCTCCCCTAAGAGTCTGTCCTGGTGCTGTGGCCGCAGCGAGCGCCAGGCCAGCCTGACGACTCCGCATGCGCTTTTTTGCTCTGCTGTTCACATTTGCTTAGTGACTCGCTGGCATGGAAAACTAGGTCAGTAAACAAGAGCCAGTCTCTCTCTGTAGTCTGAATGGAAACTCGCAGGCAGCGCTCTGGACAGCACGGCCCCTGGGTCTTAACGCTTTGATGGCTGCACATCAAACAGCCCGGAGTGTCACGTGGACCTCACATCCACACCAACGCGTGCCTGTGGGTGACCTTCAGCTGCAGAGCCGGCAGAAGAAAGGCCAACCGGGCAGCTTCCAGCGGGCCAGTTAAACCCCCGCCCCCACCCCCCCACCCCACAGGAAATGCTGTTCCTTGGCAACCAGATGGTTTATTCAGTCGTTCGACAGGAGCTGCCGAGTCTAGGTTACTCAAAAGCAACAGCAAAACAAAACGTGCATAACTGGGGTCGAGCTGCTACACCTGTGACTGTTCAGATCTAGACAGAAAGTACAGCAGCATTTTCATAAAATATAATTAAAAGCACCAAAGCAGACAAATGAGAGGCAGAGGGGAACACATCACTGCAGCATTAACACCGGTAATTCTGAATTGTTTTAAAGACTTACCTACTGGATCATTAAAATGAATCCCTACTACACATTTGTCTGTCTGTCTAATTTGAATCAGAACATTGTGTATGTTCGCTGAGTGCTAGTTAAAGCATACAGCTTACGTTCAGCCTCTCTCCACACCCCTCAAGACCCACAGACGCACACGGACTAAAGGACACAAGGCGCAATAACTATGCCTTACTGAGAAATACTCGCAACAGGAAACCTAAGGGTGTCTAACTGGGCCACCTGAATCAGTGCTGTTCAAATGTTTCTTACAGTGTGATTCCAAAAACAGTGCCACTAAAGCAAAACCTAAACAGTGCCTAACAGGTAGACAGCATTAGCTCATAACTCTGACCATCAGGAATGTGGAAATCAGTGCCACATACGCAACGAAAGCCCAACTCGTGAGTAGCACGTCGTCCACGGACCTGTAAACAGTTACTGAGCACATTTGCATATTTTTGTATGTCTACTATACACTTGTTACTAACAGCAGATCTGCTGGACGTAATCCCAGTTAAATCTGTGCAAGTGAGTAAGAACGAATCGACTCCGCCACAGCTAAAATTTCTCAATGGCAGACTACCATCGTTTGCGTAAACAGGAGTGGCCACTGGGTGTGTTACGCCATCTAGTGGCGAGTCTTCAGCGTTGCACCAGACAGTTCCTGACTGGCTCCCGAGAAACGGCTTCCTAAATACCTTTTAGTCGTTTATTTTAAAATAACAACATAGTAAATGCACGGAAATGACCGAGCACAGTCAACACGTATACATTTAATTCAACATAGTAAGATAACATATGAGTTTCATTATCATAAATATATTTTTTAAAGTTTACGTGTCCATATATGTCACTGACTGGTAAGAAGCCGATATTTGCTTTTGAGATAGACATTCTGAGTATCACGGACTACAGATCATCAGCGGTCGAAGGCAAAACCCACCCTTTGGATTATATTGGGATTCATAAACTGGGCTCACCGCGGTTTAATCCGTGACACTGTTTAGTGCAATTCCAGACAATGTAATTAAACTAATAAACTACACTTGAAGCCCATAGGTGCACCTGGTGTGAAATGCCAACGGGTTTTGAGGTCCCTGAGGAACAATCTGACAGCCGCTAATTTAAATAAACAGTAAACGGTCCGGACGCGCCCACTTTCGGGGCGCTAACTTCCGCTATCTTTAAAAAATACCATTGGCCGCTGCTGAGGCTCGTCTTTCGTAAGGAAGACAGACAGCAAAAGGAACCATTGAGAATCCTCCCCGACATGGAACCAGAAGTGGGGGCCTCCTATTGGTTGGTCCCGGCGGAAGTCTATTGTCAGTACTACCGTCCATAATGTAAGGCTTTGGCCTAGAACCCTATAGATCATTACAAAGCATGGTGCATTTCAAGATATTCTTCTTTATATAACAACTCAACACAGTGTCTGATTAACGATTCCTGCTAACCTTTATCAAAAGGCTTTCGGCTACCGACTTAAGTGCATCGTCAAATATACATATGCGGCGATTTCAGCAAGGTAAACAGAAATCATGCATTTGACAGCCCCGAACTGGTTTTATTACGGCAGAAACACTGATGTTCGCGTCCCAGCCACAGAAACAAACAACGGCTCACCTGAAACTTGTGCAGAAAATTCTCCGGCCACAAAACAAGATACACAGGGCTAATAAGCCCGAGCTTTCCGATCAAGGGTACTACGATAGACCCGGCAAACCAGTACCGAGTGATGAAGGGAATGCTTTTAAACCAGTCCCCAATGTCTGACATTTTCGGTTGTTCTGGACTTGCACCTCCAGCGTAGTCTCACAGATGTTCCAAAAGGAACTGAAGATGTCCAAAGCGAACCTCTTTCCTCAGCGTTAAGGATCGTTTCTCTACACGTCTACGGTATCGATTTTCGGAGGCCTTCTCTGTTGATAAGTTTTTCTGACGTGGCTGCTCAGGACTAGTGCAGAGACACACTTCCTGTGGAAGATAAAGCAGAGCAAACGCCAGAGGGCACTATTTCGTCTTGTCAAATCCCAGTGTAGAAAAACTAGTGCACAATATATATCCTACCTTACGTACTGACTACTAAGAGTTTATGATGTGATCCATGTGTTTTACTCCTGATATTATTTGTAAATCTTATCTCTGCAGCAACCTGAATGGTTTAACAATAAGTGGTTAATATAGGTCAGACTCTCCGTTTACTTAAATTGTCACTAGCCCATTGCTGGTTCCAGCAGTTTGTTCCAAAACAGGCACTGAAGACAACAAAATTAGTTCACATTGAACATTAAAACACACTTTAGTATTCCATTTTCTAGACATATGGGGGCAACATGTGGTTCAGTGGACTAAGCCTCTGTGCCTGTGATCAGAAGGTCACTGGTTCAAGCCTGGCTTTGCCACAGCTGTTGGTCATTGAGCAAGGCCCTTAACCCCCCAACTTCCTGGGCACCACAACAAGTAGCTGCCATTCATGACCAACTTGCTTTCACCTACAGAGAGCAAGTTGGGGGAGGTGTAAAGAGAATTTCCCTACAGGGATCAATTATTATAAGATCTAGATTTAAATTAATGTTTACTGCTTCTGCCATGTTTACTTATAATTCCAAATCATTGCAATAGAGGAGGTTAAAAAATATATATAACACAAAGCTCTACATCCAGAACACCAAAATATCCATTCTCGTATTTTTCTTTAGCTGAAAATAATTTCAGATTTCGTGTTTGCCTTTGCTGGTGACAGCTTGCCAAAAGTTAGTCTTAAGGCTTGACACTGTTTCTGCAGGTTCATGCTGACACAAGGACTCCTCATTTAATCCATATACACAGTATACAGAACTACTTGTCTAACTCTTGGTCTGCTAAATGCAAAAGAACAGCTACCCAACTCCCACAACCTGGCTTATCTTTCCAGAATTAACTAAAAGTTTTGTCAGTTACAGAATATTTTGGCTGAGCTAGGACTTATGCCACTGTTTACAAAATCATAGCAACATCTCAAGAACATCACATTTGAGATCTGACATTCTCTGCTAATGACAGAGAGCCTGTATCGTGCAGGAACCACATGTGCTGAATCATATGGTTATGCCACGGGCAATCGCCACAGCAACACATCACCCCGACTTCCTGAAAAAGACACAGATCAGATGCCCTGAGACAGAGTTAGAGATGTGGTTCTGGAAACTGGGTATACAGATTAAATGAGAAGTCCCAGGCAGCAGCATTTGTGGTGAGGAGAGATTATTAGCAGCAAAGATGACTGAGTTCCATGGCTCTGGAAAGAATGGAGGTGATTATTGGGTCTGGTTGATAGTTTATGTATAAATAGCTCACCAACAGTCCCAAAATTAAAGAAATAAATAAATAAATTACACACAATACAGACTGTTTTCTCAATTTATTTTTAAAGAGCAACACACAAAGAACAGGTAACAGATGATCAACAAACAGGTGTCATACCTGTATAGAATCAAAAATAAGCCACAGGACATATCATCGAACAATTTAACTAAAACACAGGTGAAGATCCATTAGGGCAAGATGATAAAAAGCACAATAAAGAACAGTGCTCAAAGTTCATAAAGTTTCAAGAGTTATTTTTCCACAGCGCTGAACCAAGTTCCTTCAGGTTAAAACTGGATTGAAGTGATTGAGATGTTGATTTATGCGTGGCTTAATAATGAGTAAATTAATCTTTAAATGTTTGTATACGAGTATCTGTGCACTTCATTTGCAATTAAGAAAAAGAATTGGACCGTGGTAACCCATTAGTGCCTTCAAACATTTATTGGCCACAGTAGAAAATATATATTTCAAGTTACCCAAGTAAAAGCCACAGCTTAAAAAAAGCTATTCAGTCTTAAATTAATTGCAATTTACAATACATACAGCTCCTGCCACCACAGACAAAACAGAACTTAAAAGGGCTTACAGATCTGTCCCGTAAGGGACTATATACACACACAACAAAACATCTATTTGCACAGTCAATATATATTAGTAACATTTCATTCTTAATTTATAAGGAGCTATAACTGATCAGGAAATGTTCTGAGAAATGCACTATTGCCTATTTTCATCACTATGTGGACATAAACCATAGCATACTGCACCCTGTTTAGACAGATTGTAATAATGCATGGCTCCATTTGATGCGCAACATAATTTATTTTTTCTAATTTTCAAACATCATTCAGACAAGAAAAATTTCAGAAACTTCACATTCAGAAAAAAAAGAGTTCTGAAAGTAAATGATTCAGAATTATAGCGGCCATTCATGGAACGAAAACCTTGTAGGTTTTTTTTTTTATGGAAAAAAAGCTTCGGAAAAAAGTGCATTGAGAATGTGTAAAATGGAAGTGAGTTACAGTACGCTGCAGGTGCAAAACTGGTCTGTTAACGGAGTTCGGCTTGGGCTACTCATTGAGTTTGGCAGGCACAAACCACATCCGTGAGCTGAAGATCGTAGGACGTACAGAGTTAAGTCCTGTGCTTCCCAAAATGACTCCTCAGTGAGAAATGTACAAACTCCTGTTTTATCAAATGTCTTTATACACAGTATGCATCAAAGGCATGTTTCATGCCCAGACATTTTTTTAAAAATCAGTTCAAAAGCGGCAACATAAAACACTGTAAAAAATACTGTAACTTTCCTCCTTATGTCTTTTTCAGCAGGAACCGCTTTCAGAGGTTCTTACAGAATATCTCTGATCTCTGTTCTGCCATCTGTCCATAAAAAGCATCCACCGCTCCTAGAAGTGCAGGATCAACTTTCTGAGACAATAGTGAGGTCCTTTAAGTCTAAACGCAGAGCTTGGGAATCCAACATTTATGTTGTGTGCATTCCAAGCAACGTTTTAAGGAGACCTAATAAAGCAGCTATAAAATTCTAGAATAAGTGTCCAGGGAACCAAGTAACCAAGTTAAAATATAAAATCTAGATTTAAAAAAACTACAAAAACTATAAACTTGACGCTAAAGGTACCGTGGGCATTTTCCCATTGGTCTTCAACAGGCAGACTTATTCATGAAACACTGTCAGCCTGATTCAATAATCATTTTGCTAATCAACTGCTTAGGTGCAGATAAATATTTCGCAATTGATAAAACGATACCTTTGCTCAAGGCTGCATTAGTTCTGATGTTGAAATACAGTTCCCATAAGGAAATTTCAATTTACTGCAAGCCACAGTCAGAAACATTTGCATACTAGGTAAGTAAAACCTCACTGGAAAGAAATCTACATTTACACAAGGTTCACAGCACAAATTAAAAACTTCATAGTTTAAGCATATTGAACTGTGCATCAAGCAAAACTTATTCCTATCCTAGACCAAAATCATACTTATTTTCACAGCACTTCAAAACAGTATTACTTAAAGTGATTTAAGTTACTTTAAATGAAAAACAGACTATTACGTATATTTTGTTACTTTGAAAATCAAATTCTAGATTATGTTCTTTACACAAGACTCAAAAAGTGACCATGCATTACTGGAAAAGAATATATACATAAAATTCTTAATGTTAATAACAATAACCTAACATTACTTTCATTTATGGAACCATTGTGGCTGATTAGAAAACTGGTGTTCTAATCGGATCGGGCCAAAAGAAGCCAGTACAGCCCCAAAAAGATAGAAAGAAGCATTAAGTATCCAGCAAGCTGATCCAGAACCTCACAAACCAGAATAACATCATACTGTGAACATCACATGCTGTTTACCAACCCAGGTCTGAATAATCATTCAGACAGAGCGACCAAAAGTGAAAAAAATCTGACAGGAAATCTGCATCATTTCAGTACTGACCCCCACCCCCCCCTGTTGTTTTCCACCTACCCCATTTGCCCCTTCTCTGGGAAATACTGACCCCTCTTTTGTCAAATCTCACAGCAGAACGGTTCCACAGCAGAGGTTCATTAATCGTGCTGTCAGGGCTGGAAAATGCCTTTAAGAGAGAAAGAGCCTTTAAATTCTCCCCATCAAAACCCACCATTACCTTACAAATGCAACAAAAAGATTCATACAAATACCGTTTTCTACAACCTAGCTAGAAAACTGACTAAGTGTTCGAGATTAAAAACGAAGCAGTTTAATAAAAACAGCAGCACGTCTAGGATTTTCCACATGCCTCTGGTATAAATTTCATGCCATTTCCAGGCTGCTGCATAAACAGTGAGACCTGTAAAGCTTTTACCTACTTGTTTAGAAAAGTATGTAAAATGTTTGACTAGAAAGTCATACTACGTATGAAATCACACAAGACTAACTAACACCAAATTGCTTGAAAATATTTCTGTTATCGTGTAGGTAATAAGGAATTCTTCAGAGTACGCACAACCAAGACACTTCACTCTGGAAATAGGAGATGCCTACCACAGAATTACTTTGGCACCAAAGATCCACAACTGGATTTGCAAATGAATGCTTCTCTGCCTTTTAGTTGGTCCACAAAAAAAAAATCATCTGAAATCTGCCCATTAAAATTAGGGATCGTCAACTTCAGTCCTTTGTTTTCATATTATGAGAAAAATGAGAATTCTGGGAGAACAAAATAAAAAACAGAATATTAAAAATGAGCAGCTGCTCTTAAATGAAGATGAATACCTGTTCCTTCAGGAAATTAGCTAAATATATCCATAACACAGCCATAGAAAACTGACAGCACATCCCTAATACCCATTAAACAGACCTTTTTTGCGGCTTTTGTATAAAAGTCTCACAAACCTGCTATATCCTGATCTTTACTGTGTACTGTATCACATTAATTCACAAACTGCATTTGTAAGAAACAAAGCAACATGTGTCTGAAAGACTTCATCATACAGCAAACAATATCAATCTGAGGATGAGAGAAATGTGCAAGCCAACAGGATTGGCCCTTAAGGGGCAGGCCATGCGATTTGCCCCACAAGAGTCACCTGAGCTTTCAGACCTAATCACTCACCTGTATCTCCATCACTAATCTTCTGAACCCGAAAATGACTTCCTTGCGCTCTTAGAAGGTTCCCAGGCATCGCTGTCGTCCGTTTCGTCATCCTCCTCCTGGGCAGCCCCATCGGCTCGCCGCTTGGCTGCAGTCTTGCCATTGCCTTCACCGTGCTGCTGCTCCTCCTCCTCCACGTTGCCCTCAAACGGGTCAACACCCATTTCCACCCTCTTGCCGACTTCGGCAAACCAGTCCCGCACCTGCTCATAGCTCATATTAGATTTGGAAACCAGTTCATCCAGGTCCTGTTCATTGAGAAACTTGTGTTTAAGGTAATACTCCTTGAGAACCTCCTTCCCACTCTTGGACTTCACAGGGGGAGATCTTCCCCAACTTGAAGATCGCTTGCTCCTCCGGGACCATCCCCTGCCCCGGTTCCGTGCCCGGCCCTTCCCCTTCTTCCGGTAGCTGCCCCCATTCACGGCTCCCGCATTCCCACTCTGGTAGAAGTAGTACCATTTGAGGTTCCCATTCTTCCAAGCATACCGAGTGTCTCCAAACCAGTTAACAATGTAGGGCCTGGGCAGCCCGCTCTCCTCTGCCAACTTGTCGTACTCCTCAGCAGAGGGCCACTGCGTGCGCACAAAGGCACCCTTGAGAATATGTAGCTGCTCAGGAGTCTTTTTACCAATTTTATCCCTGGCCTGCCTCCTGCTGCTAGGAGAAGTTTGCCTTCCATGCCGGCTGGAGGAAATGGCCTTTGCAGCCTCCACTTCCCTCTGCTCAGTCTCGGGTGCTTTTCTCCTTTCGGTGAACCAAGCATCGACCTCTCGCCTAGTGAGCTTCGTCTCTGTCCTCAAGCGGCTCAGCTCTTCGTCGGTGGGTGTGCCGCATTTCTGATAGCTGTCCTCCAGAAGCAGCAGCTGCTCCGGAGTCTTTTCTTTGAACTTCTGAAGTGTGAAGTCAGGAAAGGGATTCCGGCTGCCCTTGTTGCGCGTTTCCTTGACGGGAACCGATGCGGGAGACTCCATGGTCTCATCACTGGAATCGATGACAATGGTGGCACTGCTGTTGGGGGCACCGTCGTTGAAAATGGGGACTTGGCTGTTTTTTGAGTTGCGCTGATTGTACCGTGTGTCGCTGAACCACTTCTTGATCTCACCTTTCGTGAGGTTCGTCAGCTTCATTAGCCGGGCGATCTCCGCGTCACTGGCAAAGTGGTTTTTCAGGTAGCTGGCCTTCAGCTCCGCCAGCTGCTCCTTGGATTTCTTAGTTCGCATACTGAGGTGATCGGCACTGAGGGCAGAGTTCTCCTGAGGTGTGAGAGCAGGGGGCTGGACCGTAGTGGCCCTCTTCACCTCTACAGCAGCTGGGGCTGTCTGGATCGTGGCAGGTTTTGGCGGCTGAGCCTGGTTAGGGACCCCAGCCACGGTTAACGTGATGGGGGTTGTCACTGGCAAAGTATTTGCGCCACCAACCTGTGTCAGCACGAGCCCGGGCTGTCCCACGATCTGACAGGTCTGGAGAATGGACTGCAAGCCGTTGGCTGCAGCAGAAAGGTGGGCAGGTATGACTGTGATAGTCTGAGATACTGTGTGGACGGTACCATTGAATTGCTTCCTTCTAGCCTCTTCTACTTCCTCTGGGGTCCAGCTCACCCCGTGCTTTAGACGTTGAGCTGAAAACCAGATCTTTATCTGCTCCTCAGTAAACTTAGTCTGCGCTGCTAATCCCATGATCTCCGACACTGACGGATAGGGGAATTTGTTGTATGTGTTGACCAGCAGAGCATTGTTGTCCATGGCACCGTTGTATGTTGGAATACTGCTAACAGGAATCAGGAGCTGGGTGTGAGAATTCTGCTGGGCCTGAAGGGCGGACAGAACCTGGGCCAAGCCTGCGGGAAGAACCGTGGCGGAGTTGATGATGGTCTTCTTTGGCTCAGTCAGGATCTGACCTTGATTACTGATTATGACACATGGTTTCCCCGGGTCAACAGGAAATGGTGTCACCATGTCCAAGACCCCCGATTGTGCCTCTTTGGGCTCCTGCTCGCCCTCGCTCTCTGCCCTCACATCCCCCTCATCCGATACTTTGTGAGACAAAGCGATCCTCTTAGGTTCAGCCCTGCTCCTCATCTTCATGATGGGAGTCTTGCTGAAGGAGATGCCCGTGACGGTTGTGTCCTCAGCCTCCTCACTTTCCGGCTGCAGCCCAAAACTGCTGTCCAAGGACAAGTCATTTGCAGTTTGCCCGAGTACGTTGTGGCCGTTTCGCTTCACTTTGGTCCGGATGAGACTGTCCTCCTCGGAGTGTGAGCCCAAGTTGTTCTCTGAAATTGCGTTGTAGCACTAGGTTAGAAAAGTCACTCTTGAAACACACAGGATGGGCTGAGGCCGACATCACAACGCTCACTGTCAACATTAAACCTAAACACCAAGACCTGAAATCTACTACATGTGTATTGTCATAAATCATGTGGTGGCCTACATACCATCCTCACCTGGCTCACTCTCAGCAGGGACAACAGCGCCCTCCACTGGGGCAGTGGCCATGCTTCCCGCTCCCTCCTCCCCTTCTGTTATCATCTCCATCTCCGGGTCCTGCTCCACTGTTTCTGAGAGAAGGACCATGCAAGGTGTGGATGACTTTCGTTTGCTTGCCATGGCGTTTCAATGGCGCCAAGATAAGAGACTTCTTAAAGATGCGGTTCACTGCTCCTCTGCGATCTCCCTGCTTGCAATCGCACAGAAACGGTTTGCTTCACATGTCCACCAACATGGATGTACATCTCAACGATATCCTGGAGAAAAAATAAGAAAGAGTTTGATAAAGCAGTATTTCTGAAATGCACCTGTAGTTTACACAATGATTTGAATCTCAATACAATTTTAAATAAAACACCTTTCCTAACATAGTTCCATCAAAGCACTTACAGCGGTATGCCAAGTACAGCAAAAAAAAAAAAAAAATAATAATAATAATTGGAACAAAATTATGAGCATAAACTAGTTAACATCAAACAGTATTAAATAAAATCTTACGGGTTCCAAAGCCTACTGGACAGCCAAGACTCCATGACCACCATGACTACCTTCACTGGAACTGTCTGGACTTCTTGGAACCGGATACTTCATTATTTTTACTCCAAAGAATGGAGAGCAGCTCGGTTTGACGACTGACACGAGTCTAAGAGGTAGTACCGACAACAGCCTGATTCAAAGGTTGCGCTAAACACACATAGAGCGAAAGTGAAATCCTAGAAATTCATAAAAATGAACCTCGATACTGATTTACTAATGACACCATTACATATTAAAAGCAAGACACGCATAGACATAGGCTATATTTACATTCAATTTGCATTGTTATATATATACACAATATACGGTGGAAGACCGCCAGAAACTATATATAATATGCAATAATCATATAATGTCCATCTATATTATGCTATAGAAAAATAAATATAATAGAAATACATGTTCAGTATGACACATACAATAAGATCTATATCTCTAGATATATATATATAGTTGTTAGTGCCGCTACCTAGAAGTATGTGACAACTGCACAACTGACAACTAACAAACTAAGGCAAGGTGGCTGTGAGCCCGTTAACTTCCCATCCGTATCGGAGCCACGGACGGCGGCTGCACGACGGATCCCCGGGCGTGTGTGACAGCAGCGGGGACCGAGCGCTCGGCTGGCTGCCTACCGCTTAGCACCGCCGCGCCCGCTGCTCGCTGCCGCCGAAGGCTCTCCGGTGCTGCGCATCTACAGGCTGGAGAAGCGGGTCCGGCAGCTCTGGCCATAGATACACAACAAAAAAAAATAAATAAAAAAATTATAAAAACCGCTGAACGGTCAGTCTCTGACTTTATACCACCCCTGCTTTATTACCCCCCTCGCAGAATGAGACGGTTAAAAAGCACAGGCAGAAATGTAAACGGCATCGCCTTTAACAAAGCAAAAATAAAATATAAATAGTTGGTGGGTCTAAATGGTAGGCTTTTAATGGACCGGGCGTCACCGCCGATGAAATACGTCGTTACGTCATCGTGACGCGACTCCCGTCTGTAGTCACAAGGTCGCGTAATAATGCAAGATGTAGACCGCACACGTGGGTTTGCACTCCAGGAGCAGGGCTTGGTACTGTACCCCAACACGGCGGGGTCTCTTTGGCACTGTCCCAAGAGACAACATACCTGAATCACAACAGTGTTCCAAACTCCCCCCCCCCCCAAAAAAAAATAAAAATCAGTGAACATTGAAGATCAGTTCAAAGCCAAAATTGTGATGCTAAGAAACTTGAAGACAGCATTTCACCAAAACCAAGCCGCGTGCACTTAGCTATAACCAAGTTAAGATCAACAGGTCACACATTTTAAATGTAATACACTGTGCCTGGCCTGACCTACTTGGACCCAACATCTCCATCTAAGTAGTTAAATATTTCAAGGAATATTAAGCTCATTTTGTCTATCTGGGCTGGAGAGACAGTCCTGGGTCTCCGATGATTTTATTCACTTCACATCCTCTGCTGATGGCGGCTCCCATCATGAGCCAAGTTACCGATCTTGAGTCCTATGGCACAGTTCAATCACCTCACAATTTTGTGTTACTTGTTTTATGTTGTTTATTGTCTGCATTACATATTGGTTCTATACATCCTTATTGTTCAGTGTTGCTATTTAATGTTATTCTTTAATGAACTGTTAACTCACAGCCTGCAGGAGGCGAGACAGTAAGCATCTAATTGTACAAATAAATAGAACAATAATCATGAGACCAACACTTTCTTTTAGGAATGTTATATTACACCATGTTGTGGCAGATCTTTCATACAAGAATGTTAGTTGTCAGCATGTTCCATAACGGTATATATTAACGAAGGTGAAAGTTCAAATTTATAAAGGTTGCATTTGTGTCTTTGTCTTCTTTTCTGTATTGTTGTCTATACTCTAAATTGTTTTATTCTGTTTTATTTAAATATAGGGGTTGAAGAAACGAAGCTTTGCTTGGTACGTTTAAGACAGAAAGATTTTCCATAGCTTCCCACAGAAGGGTTCAGCATAAGCTTCAACGCAGCTGCTTCGGACCGCCTCCGCCCCGTTTCTTTACACATGCCATGTGTCTACATAACTTTCACGTTATCTGATTTAAAAAAGAACAACTTAAATGATTTAAAATATTTGTGCAACAGACGTAGATGTGCGTAGGCACACTAACGCGTAAAATCAAAATACAAAAACTACGTTTTATTGATATAACAGGAATTTCAGCCCGCGGTTGATCGTTCGCACGGTGCTATACATTCCCAGAAAGTGAACGCGCTGAAGAGGCGCAACCTGAAACGCATCGGCGGCGCTGTGGTTTCAACACGGACGCGTGTCGCTGGGACACGTTCGCTCTTGGTTTCCGGCTCTCTCCGGGCTGTTAGGAAGCGACATGTATTAAGCAGTTTGGAGTCTTCTCAGATATGCAGGTTAGCGGCTCCTCGCCGGAGTACGAGCGCATTACTCCCTGCAGGAAGGACTGCGTTTACACCAGCTGCTACTGGTAAGGCTGGACATAAATATTCATTTGGCATCTCCTGTGCTGTGTTAATGTCACTGTTCTGTGGAAGTAGATCAGTGACAGCGACCATGTCTTCTCCATCGTTTGGCGTGTTTTTTTTTCTTCATTGCTTTAACAGCATATTCATTATCAAAGATTATTGCACACATAATATCAGGGGCGTAGGTGGGGCATGGATACCCTGGCAGATTCAGGGGGGCAGCATTTGATATGGGAATACGTAAAGTTACACATAAAATTGGACAGGTTTCTCAAGATGATATTTTCTCAGTGAACCCAGAATGTCTACGTATGTCTCTCCACAGTACGACATGTATTACGTTTTAAAATGTAACGGTTTCTTCCGTTAAGACGAGCTTGAGACTTGCCCAGTTTTTTTGTCTTTAATGTGTTCCTTTACAGCGAGGAAAATGTTTGGAAACTATGTGAATATGCCAAGATCCAAAAGCAATTCCCCATGGATGAGATTTATGCTGTCTTCATATCCAATGAGCAGAAGATGGTAAGGTGCAAGTGTCTGTTGATATAGTGGGATATGTGTATATGTAGAAGGTGCCACTGTTCTTTTATTTAATCTGTCCACAATACCATGCAGGTTCCTCTTTGGGAGCAGAAGTCTAGCCATGGAAACAAACCCGTAATTTGGGTAGGTTCTATTCTGTCGACGCTTACAGTATGGCCAAGCTATAATGAAAATGTACCATATTTCACATTGAGTATGGTATATGATGTTCGACCTTTTATTTTTCTTGAAGGATTACCATGTTATTCTGCTGCATGACGGGAACAAGGATCAAAGGTTCATTTATGATCTAGATACTGTCCTGCCTTTTCCCTGTCCATTTGATACGTACATAAAAGAAGCCTTCCGGTCAGACGCTTACATCAATCCAGCTTTCAGGAGGTAGTGGCTCATTTCGAGATACTGCACCATCACGTTTTCAAGACCTTAACATTCTGTAAAAATATGTAGGCCTAAACATTTTAATGATTCAAAAAGTGTATGGTAAATGGAGAAAAACATTGCAACATTTATGACACGGTACCTGAAATACCTGAAATTCATATTAAGTGAAACAGGATGGTGGCTCTGTCACTTTAACGGTGACATTCACATCAGTGTACCTGTTGCTAGGAAACTGCGTGCTATTCCAGCAGAAGAATTCCTGCAGAATTTTGCATCAGACAGATCGCATATGAAAGATGCTACTGGGACATGGCGCGTGTCTCCGCCCCCATACCCCTGTATCGAAACAGCAGGTAGGAGGCGTTTCTCTCAGCATTCAGACGGAAACTTTGGAGGGACCTGATGTACAGTTTAAGCAGTTTAACACCATACCGCCCCACCTTTCCTCTGCAGGGTCCAAGATGAATTTAGATGACTTCATTAGCATGGACCCCAGTGTGGGATATGGTCAGGTCCACACTCTGACTGAGTTTGTCCAGCGGTTTGGACGTAGCTGAGAATCGCAGAATGAAGCCCGTCGGCCGGGAAAACAAATGGGGCTTGAGGGACAAGGACACTGTGTTCAACATTTTGGTGCTCAGCTTTTCATGAGGAGTTAATTTATCATTTGAAGAAACGGTACCTAATCCTGGACAGATGGTTTTTTTCAAGCGTGTTTTTTTTTTATTTCTAAACATTGTAAACTATGGTAAGAAATTGTAAATATTAAAGGACACCTTGCTCTATTTCTGTGAGGGATAAAGGAAATCACTGCATTATCACCATTTATTGGTTTCATTTTTAAGAAAAAAAAACAATAAAAATGAAGACAGTCTGAATATACAGTATTTTAAGTCATTTTACTTCAAACAGCTAGAAAAATAAAGCGCATGGAAAGCTTTGCCGGTGGTTTCAGGCAATGGCTGCCAAATAATCCTTAACCTCAGAAGGGGAAAGTCTTCTGAAACCGTCCTCATTACAAATGCCCACTTCGATGTTATCTTCAGTCATCTGACCCTCAAAGCTTTCCTGTGACATAACACATTGTTCTTGTAGCAGAGAAACAGCAAAAAGACGAATCTGCTCAAACTGGCAGACCAGAGGCTTGTATCATGAAGTGAGATTTCTGGGTTAGGTAGGTAACTTGTTGGATTTAAAGTCCATTTAAACTGGGGTACTTTGGGTGAATATCAATGCGTACTTGACTGGAACTTGTGTTCTCACATACCCATTTTACGTCATCTTCCTTTGCCAAAGACCAGTTCCAGTATTAAGAACACAAGTACACGAATAATGTAAAAATGCCCAGGTGTAGTTGTTGCTCCGCCACAAATATCAAGGATACATTGGTTGCATCCTCGCCAAATGAGACCAATCCCATGATTCTTTGCGCCACAAGTTTGTCCTTGGAAGGCAAGTTAGCAAGATCGGTCTTGCAAAGACCACAAGTCTTCGTGTTCTTGGTATTGAGATTTACCCCTTATCTTCATTCACTTACACATTACCCCAGAATACCTGTCTTGCTAACCCAAAAGTCTACCTTCGTGACACAGGTCCCCGGTTCCCAAGCTTGGTGTGTGAAACTTACCTTCAGAGTCAGGATTGCTGTATGAATTGCATCTTCAAGCTCTAGGTCCTCATTGTATCTGTCAACCATCCAGCACAATTTGTAAACCCTTACAGCCTCAATCAGACATTCAGCTAATACTTAATGATTTAAAAAAAAAAAAAAAAAACATGTTGATTGATGCTACTCTACCTTTTCTCAAGGAATGTTTTTCCATTGACGTAGTTCTTTCCCATTGCTGTTGCTTTCCAGGCAAAATATGCTCCCTATATGAAGATATTAAGCAATAATCAACACCCCTCTCATCTGAGAGAAACAGGCCAAATTCTCAAAAGGCAGATCCAGCCAACATTTGAATGGGAGTACAGAAAACTGTCATTCACCTTTAAGTTAACCAGACATGAACAACCCACACAACCACTCTATAATGACACAGATTTTAAGAAGGCACAGGCCAGCCGCACTTACAGAAGGGTCTGACTGGAAGAGGTAGGGCCGTCCTTCATCCCAGCCAGCAATCAGCAGTGAGACCCCAAACGGGCGCACTCCCCTACAGCAGACAGGGCATTTCAACACAACGTGATCACGGTGAGGTCTACTGCAGCCTTTAAACATCAGGACTAATGCAGCATACAAGTCACCAATGTGAAAGCTGTAGGACCCACCCTGACTGTGTGTACTCCTGCATGACTGACGCCACCCTCTGTACCAGCTGACCTGTAGGAATGGGCTCCTGGTAAACCAGAAAGTACTGCTGGGCCAGCTTCCGGGCTCTCCTCACAAGTACCCTGCCGAGAAATCCTCTTTTAAAGCATGTTGTGTCACTCGGTGTCAGAGTGCTGCAATCACCCACTTCCACCACACGATGGCGCCCTAATACGTGTTGCTTTTATTGTCCGTAAAAGCGGCTGTTACCTGTAGTCGGGACCCATCCCACTGTAGACCATGCCTATGTGCTTGGTGATTGGTTCCACTTTATGAACGCTCTGCTCGTCGTACAATATCGACTTCTGCTTCTTCTCAGTGGCCAGAACGACACCATTTGATGCTGAATAACGAAAAATCATACGGTGTATCACATACAGTTTGCTGGGGCAGCGAGAAACAGACCCCCAGAGGAGCAGACACTCACCTTTGATGCCGACCGATGGAGCACCAGCGGCAACAGCCGCCAGAGCATATTCAATCTGGACCAATTTGCCGGACGGGCTGTAGAGGACCCGAACCCATTAATGGCACTGACTGACACATTTTTAATGATTACGATACTGCTGAGTTCACTTCTGCATAATATTGTAAATACAACTTAAAGTAATGCAATGGGAGCATCTAATCATCCCACGCACAAATATATACAGATATAACACCACATTACGAAATAAGTATCAGTAATTAGAGACTGGGCTCTATACTACCCAAAGGTGCTCAGTAAATGAAAGTGAAACCAATTCAGCTTTTTACATACTATTCACCGCCTTCACGCATCTGGCAGATTGAAACGATATATGTTACAATAGCTGGAATAAGCATACAGCGTTTAGACGTTGGAAAGTTAGTCAGTATCAGTGCAGGTGAGTGGTACCCGTGATGCCAGGCTAATAGTGAAATAATCCTGTTACCGGTGCTAACAATGCTAACGGCACGAACCATGTTACAAGTGCTAACAGCGCTAGCAATGCTAAGGCTAGCCGTCAGCACCGTGACACTGCAACTCCCGGGCTACTCAAACAGAGAGGAACACGCGCTTTTCCTTTACGGGCACCTTTGCTTCGCGATCACACAGCCGCAGAGTAACCGAATTCCACATCCCTGACCCAAGTTACTTTCAACGTGCATGTACCTGAAAGTAGTTAGAGAGAAGCTGTATCCTCTTTCTGCCATTGTGATGAGTTGCAGGGGGAAACTGAAACACGGCGGACGCAGGAGGAGAGCGTAACCGCGCGAGGCATGCTGGGCTGTCTGTTGTGGGCAGAGTCGCGTGCTAATAATAAATATTAATAACAAAGGTAAATATATTATTAATAAACGCATTTATAAGATACAGTATTAGAAAATATATGAAATCGCATTAAAACTGGAAAAAAAAATTGAATAGTTGGTGGTCTTATCTATGAAAAATCATTTTCAATCATTTTATAACCTTCGTATATAACACTGAATAAAAAAATTTAACATAATTGGACCGTTCTGGGTTGGGTGCCCAAAACCTCTAGCCATACCCCTGTGCCAGTGATAAGGATTGTTTTCTCAGTTAACTGGGCTTAGAACCAAAACTAAGCTGTTAGACCACCTATTACACGACTATTTTCTTAGACATCATATATGAGGTGAGTTTGAGTCAGTCTCAGCTAATGGCTGTCTATGGAAAATTAACTTAAATAAAACAACTGTACCCATGCTATTAACTGATAAAATTATTCAAAGTATAATCAAACAATCAGATGCACAACAGTACAGCAAGCAGCAGAACAGCTTTAAGGCCACCCAAAGAGAAGGAAAAAATAAATTTAAAGTCAGAAGCTCTAAACAGCAGTAAAGATGGAATGAGATTGTACAGACAAACAAGGAAATGACAATGAAATTGATTTGTGTGCTTTATTCATTCAATCGGAGCCTGTGGAATGAATTGAACCCACACAAAGGTATCCGCTTTTCATTAAGAAAGTTCTACCTAAAACATCCTTTGGACATTTTTAAAACCCTTGCCTGCTGACTGGAGAAAAATATTTTCAGTTAATAAGCAATGTATTTAATGCACATTAAATACAAAGGAAAATCAGAGCTACACCAGGCAAGAAAAAAAAAATGAGCATGCAAGATATTGGTCAGGAGGAGGATTTCGGACTACAGATGGGTAAGAGATCTACAAAATCACTTCTGAGTTATTACAGTACTTACAATGCAAAACAGAAAAGGGCGGGGAAGCTGAACTAAATTTCCAGAGGCTTCATGTGTAAAGTCAGCTGCAAATACACATACTGTACAGGCACTGGCAGCAACACAGCTTCACTTTCAAGCTTCCAGAATGTTCTTCGTATTCCAAGGCTTCCAAACAGGGATTATCTGACTACATCTGCTGTTCAGGGAGTGTTTATTGCGCTGAAATAACGTGTAAAAAGCTTCACACTGTCACACAGAGGCCCAGCTACGTAACAACGGAGCAACACTGCAGGTTTCATAACCAGACTCCACCTTCGTTAGATGGTGATACTGTTTTTATTTAAGCTGACGCTTCCGACAGGATGATTCCTTGTGACTATATTTAAATGTAGGCTGAAGGTACAGCTTGGATGTTATGCTGGATAAAGCCGTCCTGTGCGCAGAGCATGAACGCCACGCTAAAGCTCGTCCTTCTAGTAGGAGCGGATAGCCGGAGGGATAGCTGCGCAGTCCTCCTCATTCAGAGAGCTGTCGATCACTGGCCGGTACTCCAGAGTCACCTGCGGCACAAAGACAGGGAATCAGGGTATAAAGAGGATAGCAAGCCATCCACTCTAAATGAAAGGGCATTATTCCACTGCACCAGGTACCGTATTTTTGGTACTTCGAGAAAGGTGTTGATGTTCCACTGGCGTAAAAATTGGTACCGACCCTAAATGACATCACAAGATGAAGCAAACTGAATTTTGTACTGAATTCGAAAAATGGCTGTAATATATTATACAGCTTGACGATGTGCAATATTAATACCAACATCGCATGCTATATCAAAATAAGGCTTTTTCGTACTTTCAATTCTGTACGGAGATTATAGTGCGTGTTAAAGTTTTGCTAAAATATTTTTACTGCGTTACTCTGTCATAGGGTGGAAAAAAAATTGCAAGGCTTGCTAAGTTTAAGTATTATTCTTTCCTTATACGTTTAAAAATCAGTTTAAAGTTTACCTCCACTGCTTTTGCGTGAGCATTACATGCATTCTCTGAGACTATGGCAATCATTTTCATCCTTGCCATTTAAATCACTCAAACACGAGTCTGAGAAATTTATTAACTCCTTTATTTTATAAATACTCCAATATTTATGATAAAATCATATCATATTAGTAAACAAAGCACTAATTTCTTGTCATGCCATCCAGATCTTTTTGTTGTGTTAAACTTACAACACTTTTTTTTTTGGATCTTAGTTTTATAATTTTCTGAGTCCGCAACTGTTTTCAAGGCGCATCTGTATTATGTTTCAGCAGTAGGCCATTTGCATAACCAATCAACAAAGAAAGCATTTGGCACTTTCAGTACCGGAACTTTTGATACTGGTACCTGACCGGAAGCC